AGAGAGAGAGAGAGAGAGAGAGAGAGAGAGAGAGAGAGAGAGAGAGAGTTTGCTGTCCTTTGCAGATGCTGAGATACAACCCTGGCCCCCACAGAAAACAATGCAGCCTGGTGGTGAATGTATACAGGCCATCTTTGACAGCTCATTATGTTGGGAAAGGATGCAGCTCAACAGCGTGTCTGCCTCTGTGCGCGCGTGTGTGTGTGTGTGTGGACATCTGCTAGATTTGGGGCAATGAAGGGAAACAATAGCATGTGTGGGTGGACATCTGCTAAATTTGGGGCAATGCAGGGAAAAAGTAGCATGATCTTTGTGCAAAGAGGACACACAAATTTAGAACTGGTCCAACAAAAGACGAATTGAAGGAAAACTACCAGCACCCGCTCTCTGTTGGCCTCCCTATGCCCTGCAGACATGCAATCCGTGCATGGGACGTGGATGTGGACACTGAATCGGACATGTCTTATTGTTGCCATGTTTCAAATATTTATCTGGCCATGTGCATTCAGGTGCACCTGTGCTGTAGTTTGAATTAGATTCAACATGCTGTACATGCGCATGTTCTGTCACATGATGACGCGCCCTATGCTTTGCGTTGATGAATTTTATGACATTTCTTGCTGATCCTGGTAGACTGATGGACTGTCGTCTTCCTCTGCTCCCTCGGGTGATTTGCAGACCCACAGGCGCGCCTATTCAGATTTTTCCCCACCGTTGGATGGCTTCAGCGCCGACAAGCTAAGGTGAGACTTTGAAAGAATTTCCCCCTAAATGCCCCCCCCCCCCCCCCACCTATTAGCATTTGTTTTGCTTTCCCAGCTCCACCCACCTCCTTATGTGTGTCATTTTAGGGTCTAGGGTTTAGAGGATAACCATAACACATTCCTTTGTGTCATTTGCCTCATTTTGGATCTTTCCTTGTTTATCGAATATTTTTTAACCACAACTGCCTCCAATGCGTACTTACCCGACAGGCATATTTCTCGCGGCTGGGAGCACGGATTCAAAAAGGTTTGGGCCTACCGGTAGGTAGAAACAGGTAGGAAAAGTATGCATTCTTTTTCTGCAAAAACTTTTGTTTTCAGGCGGCCACATAGTTTTTTATTATCTACTATCTTTTTTTTCTCGAAACAGCCAGCACTGGATCCACATCCCGGATTTGTTTCTCAACTTTTTGCCAAACATCTTTTTTTTTTTTTTTTTAATCTGGACCATTTCTCGATTTATGCGTGTAATCCTTGCGCAGGGGCCATGCTAATCTTCTCTTTCTGTATCGTTCCAATCCTTTTAACGGATGGCCCAACTTTTTTGCCAAACATCTTGAGCGCCGAAATCGGCAAATTAGGTGCACTCAGAATGTCATGCACTGATGCGGCTGCCCCTTCCGCCTGAAGCTTTGGCCGGTAGGTAAACCCGTCCCCCGTTTGGCACTGTACCCAAGAGAGTTGAGGCAGGGGCAGTGTTGGTTTAATGAACTTTAATCAAGTCCAAAAGAAAATTTGACTGAAATTTATTTACCTCTGTTCCTACCTTTTGGCCTAGCATGGAAGGTTTGGATCCTCCAAGAAAGAAAAAAGGACAAGAACGAAACACACAGCTCTATCTCTGGGACTTGGAACTGGGACTGGCCGCCCCTCCCCCACAAGGGTTGGCCCGTAGGCAAACCCGTCCCCGGTTTGGCACTGTGTACCCAAAAGAGTTGAGGCGGGGGCAGTGTTGGTTTAATGAACTTCACCGACTGGCTGAGGTCAGTTGGTACACCCCCGAACTGTTGAAATACAGACCCGGGTTCAAACTCCACTGGAAGCAAATGAATGAAATACAACAATTCTGAATTACCTAGGGCTCGTTCGTTCGATGATGATATCTCAGAAARAAATGGTTTCATAAACCTTTTTTTTTTTTTTTTTTTTTTTTTTTTTTTTAACAGGTCCTTATGGCCCTGGTTCCATTTCCATTCTGGGGAGCATCAGTCCGGCTCCTATTCCACCGGCAAGTCAGGAAAAATAATTACATCATAGAACACCCTCACACTTCCTTCGTCTGGCCGAAGGAACCCTGATCAGCATTGATTACTCCAACATCGTGGAGGATTTGACTGTCAGCTTGCCCTACTCCCACCTTTCCTCTCGGGACTACTATAAGAGCCTGTCAGATAAAACATGAATAGCAAGAAAGGTCTGAGAAGCTGCAACTGCTGCCAGTTCTGTCTAAAGACTCTAAACCCTACCCCCAGCATATGAGCCTCATGAAATCCCTGGCATTCTGACCCCTGCCTGTGTTTCTGTCCAAACTCCCACCCCTAAACCCTAAGCCCTAAACAAGACAAGATTAATTTTTTTCCATCTGTTCCGCGTGAAACATCGGCTGCCGTCTGTCGCGCGTGTATCTTGGATGCTCTTCTCGGCCCAGATCGGCGCTGGTTCCTCATGTACCTGGGTATTCTGCTGGAGTACAGACTTGACAGAATTGTGCCACTCTTTCCATCTTAAAACGTGCCCATTTAGCCATGCCACTTTGTCACCTACCAACCAGACCCGCTTGAATTTGGCAAGTGTAACCTGTTCTGTCTCTGGACTGTTCTGTACCCAGAGTATAGCCTTTCTCCAATGACAGGATTTTGGCTTCAATCATCTCTTTGGTTGCTGCCCACACTTTCTCCCGTGGGTTCTTCGTGCCGTCCAGTGTTCTGCTGCATCTTTCCTTCCATATGGCCCATAGCGTGACCTCGCTCACCATCCCGAACCAGATTTTCTCTGATTGGCCGAAGTTAGGGAGTAGATTAGTCCAGAGGAGCAGTTGAAGGGGGTGCTCTGGGAGGGGAGACGAGAAAAGACTATCCCATAGTGCTGCTGCCCTTGCCCAATACTCTGTGGCTTCTTTACAGTTAATTAGGCAATGTATCACATCTTCCTGTTCTTGATCTGAGCAGACTGCACAGATATCAGAGCTGGTCGGATCGTTCTTTCTTCTTCTAACATGTAGCCACTGGTTAACCGGTAGGGCAACACATGTTATGAGCCACTGCATACTTCTGATTTTTATAGGTCTTAACGTTTTATACTTCTTCCATGGAATTTTTACTATCTGATCTGCATCCGAACCGATTAATTTGCTCCATCTTCCTTTGATTGTTGGGTCTGGGTCCTTGGTCTTTAACAGCATCTTGTAGCCCAGCTTAACTGTATAATCATATATTGGGATTGGTGATTTGGTCGTTCTATTTCGGTCTCGGGGCCACGCCCCTTCGGAGCGATCAAACTCGAGATCTTGAATTGCTGTCCCTATTTGAAATATCTGTTTTGGCCAGAGACCTAATGTTCTTATTTTACGGAGTGTAAACGCATCCAGCACTACTCTTTCAGGGTTGATATTCTGAATGTACTCTTCATCTGGCTTGGTCTTCAGGATCGGGAAGGATGTGAAGACGTCTTGTGGACCTGGACCTGATATCCGATGGGAAAACTGGTAGGCCCTTTCAGGGGAGGTGTCCTGGATTAGGACCCCCCTCTCACCGGTTTTCCACGTAAAATCCTCTAGTAGCTCATCCCACCCCCCCGGAATGCTCTGTATAATCTTTTGTAGGCTCTCATCTCTGTGGTGGCAGCCTTTCAGTCGCGTTTTAAGCTCATTTTCGTCAACCAGTTCTTCCTTTCCTTGTTCCAAATGTCACCTACTCGCCAGACACCTTGTTTGATCCATGACAGCCATCTGTTGCCTCTGTGGGAGAGTGTCCACGGGTGGTCACCCTCGTCTCTGATCCAGGGGTTTCCAAAGAGAGGCTGCCTGAGCACTTCCTCTTTGGACCTGGGTTTGTTTCGTTTCTCGGGCATGGGTTTGTTTCGTTTCTCGGGCATGATCTCTCTCCAGATACGTATAAGGGCCGTCCAATAGGGGATAGGTGTCTGATTGTGAGTTGGGGGAGTGTGAGTCCCATGTTTTCTCCTCCCTGTTTTTGGAATCCAATCTTTGTTCATGACCCAGAACAGTCCGAACATGTTAGTGGGGGATTCCGTAGGGGTCAGATTCCTGATGCTATCTTGTGCTAGTTTGTTCCACAGTAGTGATTGTCTAGTCAGAAGCTTAATAACCCACTTAATTTGCAGGGCTTTCGCTTCTTGTTTGGGGTCAATAATGCCTAGTCCTCCCTGTGTTGGTTTCCTTGTGATATAGTGCCAAGCTATCTTTGGAATGTAATTTTCTTTGTTGGGGTTTCCTGACCATAAGTTGGCTCTGGCTTTCTTGTTTAGATCTTTGATGGTCTGGTCTGTTATTGTCCAAATGGACGCCATGTACCACATCATTGAGAATACGGAGGTGTTAATGGTAAGTGCCCTACCCAGTAGTGATGCAAATGCTCGGGTAGGAGATTCTGTGCCATCTGGGGAGCTGGGCCGTGCTTTGTCACTTGGATCCCTAGGTATCTCGTTGGTTGCTCTGGTATCTCCCAAGACATCTGATCCTGTGGTCCTTGAAGTTGTCGGATGGGTTAGTTGGATAACCACCACCCTACCGTCTTTACCCAATTTATCTTCATTTCTGATGCCATTCTGAAGGCTTCCATTGCTCTGACTAAGGCTGCCATGGATGAGTTGGAAGCTCGTATCAACACTGTTAGATCATCTGCGAACATGATTACTGTGGGAAATATGAAGTGGTGTGAGGAGCCAACATTCATTTCAGGCAAAAAAAAAAAAAAAAAAGATGGATGGGTCCTTACAAAGGAACGAAGCTATGGCTTCCATGACAAATAGAAAGATAGGCGGTGCTAACGGATCGCCTTGTCTTACCGACCTTGAGATTGGGTAGCCTTCGGACAGCAAATCTGGACGCATCCGGAGGCATTATTATATAGGACTCGCACCCATTTCCTAAGGTTGGGACCTACCCCCATTCTTTCCGTACACGCATCGAGGAGCTCCCAATTTACCTGATCGTAGGCCTTTTCAAAATCGAAGAAAAGAATCACTGTGCTGATTTTCTTCTCCATCACTTTCTTGGAAGCCTTGTTGAGGGTCATTACATTGTCCAAGATATACCTGCCTGGTATAAAACCCGACTGGTCTATGTGGAAGCATTTGTCTGTCACGTCCAACATGCCGAAGTCTAGGGCTTTGGCCAGTATTTTATAGGGGAGTGTGAGAAGGGATATTGGTCTGTATTTTTTTATGTCTTCCCGGTCACCCTTCTTGTACAGAAGTGTCACGACATTGGTGCTGAGGATTTCGCCCATACCCTCTTTTTCCCAGCTGTCCTTGTAGAAATATAAGGTCCAAGCCCAGCAGGGTTTTTTTTTTTTTTTTTTTTTTTTTATAATATAGGCCAAAAGAAAGTTTGACTGAAGTTTATTTACCTTTGTTCCTACCTGTTGGCCTAGCATGGAATGTTGGGATCCTGCAAGAAAGGAAGAAGGAGAAGAACCAAACACACAGATCTATCTCTGATTCTCTGGGTCTTGGAACTGGGACTCTGAGATACATGAAATCCTGTCTTTTTTTTTCTTTTTTTTCTTTTTTTTTTCTTTTTTTTTATAGAAAAATCAACGATGGGTGTAGGGGGGGTGCTGATAAGAGCAGACATCCTTTCAGCTGCGTCTATCCTCTTCCCGCCAGGGTAAGGACCAGAGAGGTCTGTGTACTCCGCGTAGTTTTAGGGCTTTGGGGTGACGGGCAAATGCTTTTTTAGTACAATATATTTAGTATTATTTGCTGACATGTCCCAGTTGAGGAAATTGCAGAAAAAATCCAGCGGCCTAGCTCAGTTGGTAAGGCTTGCAAGTGGCATTCAGGAGGTCTTGGGATCAATGATTCAATCCCCATTAGACTCCTGTACCTTCCTGGGCATGCTTGGCGCCGCCACCTAGAGATATAGACCACTGGATCCCCCCTGCTGATGTTCGTAGGGAAGAGGGGACCAGAGGGGAGCATAGAGATTGGTCCTGTTGGCGTGGTCCCTGATGCCACCTGCTGTCCCCTGGCCAGTATCGCCCACCTGCAAGTCGGGTTCAGCTCCCGCATGTCCTCTTGTGAACACGGTTGTTGCTGCTGCGGGGTTCCCCGTAATACTATGATTAGGAGTAGTAGTAGGTAGTTAGTGTAAGGTGAAATTGAAAGAAGAATCTAGCTTAGTTAAAAAAAAAAAAAAAACAAAAAAAAAAAACAGAAATCCCCTGAGGTCAATGACAAGGACGAACCAATAATTTTCAAGATGACAGTGGCAAAACTGAGAAGACAAAGATCTGCAGAGTTCAGTAATTTACAGTTATGGTACACTCGCCGGTGGGCGCAAAACCATGGGCTTTTGGAAGATAAAGATAAACTTGATATAGAGACGCCAAGATTAATTGTAATTTTTAACATAAAGTCTGATAAAGATACATATAAAATAATTGCAAGTTAGATAATGGGAACAAAAGCATACGTGCACCTGTCTCTTATACACATCTAGATGTGTATAAGAGACAGGATAAAAAATCAGCTCAAACTAGTTAAAAGTTAAAACTCAAAACTTAAAACAGCAAGTCAACTTTGGAGACTTCCATTACTCCGCAGGCTGTTNTTTTTTTTAAACGGGGCCTTATGGTCCCGGCTCCAGTCTATTCTGGGGAGGGTCAGTCCGGTTCCTATTCCACCGGCAAGTCAAGAATTAATACATCATTGGGACTCACGCACGCATCCTTCCGTCTGGCCGAAGGACCCCTGGACAGCATTGATTGCTCCATTTCAGCGGAGGATTGACTGCCAGCTTGCCCATTCCCTCTCTTTCCTCTCAGACCGAAAATTAGGTCTGCTAGATGCCATCATTTAACCTAGAAAAAGACCTTCTATTGTCATTATCAATCCGAGTCCTTTCCACTCCACCTGCCTTTCCTTTTGCCTGAGCAACCCCTAAAACCCTARACCCTGAMACCTYGTCCKTTGTRGCAGTTCCGGTATATCATCCTTACTGTTTCTGGCCCTGTATCTTGTTGCAATCTCCTTCCCGCAGCATCTCGTCTTTTTGCAATTATGTCGTTTGTTGCCTGACYCGTGACTTCCCACAATCCATCCCTATGTCTACCATTTCCCTTCCTTTCCCTCCCAAGGTTTGTCCATCTTTTCCTCCGTTCACTCTCTCGTTCCTTGGTTTGAGAGCTTCATTGTGTCCGCCGAGCACCGACCTCCGTCTTTCCTTTGATTCCATCTTTGTCCATGTCCCCTAACCCTGCTCCATGTTCAGAAATCCCCCTTACTCGTATTTATTATCGGTCTGCAACCAGATCCCCATTGTTGTGTGCCTGAAGTGGTGACCCGAGAGCGGAGCTGTCTCAGTTAGGACTCTGGCTCTGAGGTTCCATGCTCTGGTTCTGTGCTCCGCTGTTCCAGATTCCTTCTTGAAGCAGAGTTGTGCCATTCCTTCCAGCATATGCGGTCATCCTGCATCTCCGCAATTTCCCCCCCTACTAACCACGTCTTGATGAACTTGCTTCTAGCCTTCTTCCGCTGCTCTTTATCTTCTGTCCATTCCCTTCTTTTTATTTTTGATGTTTTTCAAGTTTTTGTAGATACAGAATAGTGCAACACCCTAAGGAACTGATCTTTTTCAAGTACAGTTGTACAGAGTTTTCCTTCCGTCCAATTGGGCATGAAAAATACCGGCATGAGAAAAAGGTGTCTGGGACATCAGTCTTGACCGTTAGGTAGCGGCATTACCCTCCCACTAGGTTTCCCCCCCCTCACCCCATTCCGCAACAAATCTTCGAAGGGAATGCAGGTGACCATTGATCCAGCCATGCGACCCCTTTTTTTTTTTTTCCTGAGTGAATATATCCCCCGTGCGCCACCCTGTGAAAATTTGTTGCGGGATGAAAAGAAAAGAAAACCCTGGTGGGAGAGTAATGTCGCTACCCAAAGGTCAGGGCGGATGTCCCAGACACCTATTTGAGGCTATTTTTCATGCCCACTTGGACGGACAGACAAATCTGTACGATTGTACGTGAAAAAGATCTGTTCCTTAGGTGGTGCACTCTTTTGTATCGACAAAAAACGGCAAAACAAAAAAAGAAACGGAAACTGCTGTTGGTACGACGCACGGGAAGGTGCCGCACCGCATGCTGTGCGGTGCACGGTGCGGTTGCAAGTATGAAAGAAAGGACTACGCTCTCATGCTGAAAAAAAATAGAAAGAACAGTCACATCAAAGATCATCTGCCTTTCTGCCAACCCACACTTTCAGATACCTGATGCGTCTGCGGCGTAGTCCAGAAGATCTTTTTGTGTGATCTGTCCCAGTGCCCTGCGCACCCCACTTCCCCCACCCTCTTCTCCCCTCTGCCCCCCTCCCCCTCTTCCCCCCCTCTCCCACCCCTCTCCTCTCCACCCACCCCCCCTCCTCGTCTCTGTTTTGGAACTATAATTCAGATAATCTTTGTGGTGCATTTCTGAATTCTGGCATGGTAGCTCAGAACTACCCTTATCAACAAAAGGGGGGAAGTTCTGAGTATAGGCTGATTGCAACTTGCAAAGTGCAACCTTTGTTTTTCTTGTCCTGTGTAATGACCCGCCAAAACACAGACTGAGAACACTGCTGATTTCTGGGATTTGCCACTGGAATGAATGCCTTGCTGAGATTCCCGCATTCTGCTGTGATTTCTAAGTCTGTGTGTGTGTGCGTGCCTGCTGGTTTGCGTGCCTGTCTGAGTGCTTGTCGGCCTGAGTGTGTGTGTGACCCGCAAGGGTACTTGTTGGTTGAAAGGCCCCCCAGGGCCGGTACTTACCTGTGGCCGTGACTTTCAGGGTTGCAGCGGGGAAAACACTCAAGTAGTGGGGGTAGGCCCGCGACACTTTTAGAGGAGGTACCGGTTGCTGGAAAAACACTCAAGTAGCAGGTAGGCTGGTACCACTCAAGTAGTGGTAGAAGTGTCGGGTACTGGAGGCCGAGTAGAAGGCGGCAAAACTTGGCATTTTTAGAGGTAGGCCGGTACCAGTCCAAGTAGCCTGAGTCTAGGGCCTGTCCAGACGATATCAGAGCCTGCAATGATGTTTCCTTCCGAAAGGGAGGAGGTACCGGTTGCTGGGAGGCCGCTCGGCCTAGGAAGTCACCGCCCAAGAGGCCAGTAGGCCACTATATCATCAGGAGGAGCAAGCAGCTCCTCCTCATTTGCGGTGTGCAAGGATCGGCGACATACTACTGGAGCCAAGCGCTGGACTTGGGAGCGCTGCTGGGTGGAGGAGAGCAGCTGGGCGCTCAGCCTGGCTATGACGCCCAGCCTGAGGAGGAGGAAGAAGGGGGCGAAGGAGGAGAGTGGCAAGGTACCTACCTGGCTATGGTGGACACCATCTTCATCACCTTGTTGGGCGCTGCATCTGGAAGGCCCCAGTTGGGGTAGTGCCACACCGAGGAGGCTCGAGGCAGAGTCAGGCATGGCGGCTTAGTGAGCAGCGGCATAGCTGCTTTGTGTTGTCCTTTGGACAGGAGTGCAGCGACATAGCTGCTTTGCGTTGTCCTTTGCACGGGAGTGCAGAGCCCTTAGTAGTCCACCATAGCTTAGTTAGCAGTGTCATAGCTGCTTTGNGTCCACCATAGCTTAGTTAGCAGTGTCATAGCTGCTTTGTGCTGTCCTTTGGACAGGAGCGCAGCGACATAGCTGCTTTGCGTTGTCCTTTGCACAGGAGGGCAGAGCCCTTTTCTAGTCCACCATAGCCTAGGCATGTGAGAGGAGGAAGAAGGGGGAAGCCATAGCTATGGTGGACCTGCTGTTGTGTCAGCAGTAAGAAGGAACTTCGGATATTGATTCTGGTTCATCCACTCATTGTTATTATTGGAAGAAGAATAAGATTGGCGAAGTGAAGGAGGAGGAGGAAGGTGGAGAGAGAAGGGGGATTTGTCATTGGTCTTGCTGGTGTACTTCTTCTTTTTCTTTTTCTTCTTCTTCTTCTTCTTCTTCTTCTTCTTCTTTCTCTCTTCTTTGGTCTCTATCTCTTTGCGAGTGCTTTCATTTCTTTCGCAATTGGGTGGCATTGTCTTTCATTGTGAATTTGCACTTTGAGAATGACCAGGATCGTAACACCTGTCTCGAGCTCCTATCCCAGTGTTCACGTACCCAGGTTGCCGCCTTTTCCGACTGTTCTTGCGCTCTGTGGAGATTATAAACTCTTGCTTCTTGCATATTTGACAAGCTCGATAACATAAGGAACGGCATATGCCAGGTGGAGGAGCGGCACAGAAGCTGATCGCATTGGGTGGTCTTTCCATGTTTGCTTGGCATATGTTTTTTTTTTGCTCCCTGTCCTTTTTATCCTTCCCTCCTTTTTGCTCCCTTTTATTCTTCCTTTTTGCTCCCTTCTTGCTCCCTTTTTGCTCCCTGTTTTTTTTGGGAGGGAGCTCTTTGAATACTTCAATGGGTCTCGTTTTATACAAGCAGATTGAGGGAAAATGGCTTTTGGGATTTGGAGCTCAGCGGGATGGGAGTCGAACGGCGCAGCTTGAAGCAAATCCAAGGCAAGGGAATTGGTGTGGGAGTTCCGTCAGCGCCCATCAGAGAGGGAGTGGATGCTGCACAAGGTTTGGGTGCAGATTCCCAGTGGCTGTTAAGACAAAAAGACGGAGAGATATGTGAGCTCCGTATGCTACTTCTGAAGGAGCAGAGGCTGGCTGCAATATGGGAACAGCGCGTGAAGGAGACTCTAAAGGCATGGAGGTTGGTCACTTCTACCTCCTCCCACTTTTTAATAGTTTTTAACTTTGTAATAGTTTTTATTGCATTCATCTGATCTGCTTACAGGTCTTTGACTGCAGCTAACGTCATTGCATCCCTCTTGAGTCTTGATCCCTTTTTCTAGAAAACGAAAAACAAATTGGTCCATTTCTCAATTTTTGTGTGTCATCCTTGCGCAGGGGGCATGCTGATCTGACTTCTGTGCGTCCTCCCAAATTTATTTATTATTTTTGTTTTTAAATACAGCTGTCTTCTCCTCATATGGGGGACAGTTTTTTTTTCACCTACCCTATTTTCTTTCTCTCGCATCACACTAGCTACCCATATCTATCGAAGACAGAGCCCCTAGCCTTAGACTCTGGTGTCCTTCCAATTTTAACTTCTCTGTATCGTTGCAGTTTAAAGGGCGGCCCGGCCGAGCAAGGGCCAGGGGAGCTCCCTGCTGGAAAAAAAAGAAAAAAAACGGAAAGAAAACGGCCAGGAAGCTCCCTGCAGGAAAAAAACTCTGGTAACTTAGTGCCCTTCCTGATGCAATAGTGACTCTCACATCTCGAAGAGATGATGGATGAGATGGCATTCCAGTCGCAGATTTTCTGCGTCGGAGACTGGGCCACCAGCCCGGCCGCCTGGGTCACCTTGTTTGACCGGGCAGCCCGGCCATGCAAGGACCAGCCAAAAAAAAAGAAAACAACCAAAAAACTGAGTACGGACGCCGCCCGGCCGGGCCACGCCCGGCCGGGCGGGGCCTGGGCAGGTCGCCCGGGCAAACCGGGCGGGCCAAAAAACAGCCTAGAATTTTTTTTTTCTTTTTTTTGAGGGCGGGGTCGTACTGTGCTCGGCGAGAGGACCCCGAAT